TCGCCTTCGACCTCCCACGACTAAATATCTCATGNGGTTTAAGACAAGAATATTTTTACATTAGTTTGCAATTTGGNGTGACAGATGCACTACCATTTGCTATAAAAATATTCCCCAAAATTCACCACATGAGAGAATTTTTTTATGTAAAAATATTTTCTTGAAAACAATTTCATACAAACCAAACGTGCCATTATGGTACATTTGGTTCGCATGAATAGATTTTCACATGAAAAAATTCTCTCATGTGGTTAAGTGTGAGAATATTTTTATCTCAATTAGTTGCCCATTGGTGTGAAAAGATGCACTAAGACCAATTGATATAAAAATATTGCAACACTAAACCACATGAGAGAAATTTTTCATGAGAAAATGTTTTCTATAATATTTTCAGGCGAACCAAACGTTTTAAGGTTTATTGTGATAGATTTGTTTTTACTTGTAATGGTATTCCCCCTTATCACATATTATTTCTTCAATAGTTTTCATTTTTCCCTTGTAGATTTCTATTTTAACATTTGCATGCTTCCACAAGCTTGTTTATAAAAAAAGACAAGAAAAAAAAGCTAGATAATATGTTTTTGTAAAATTGTATAATCTGAAATAAAACCAAAATTTGTCGAGATTCTATTAAGGAATGATAAAATTTTTAACTTTTTTTACACTCTTCAAAAAATTTGTGTTTCCTACGTACCATGCATGATGCGGGCTTTTGTCGTCATTAGAATGAACATTATAACGAAAGATAATTATTGCTCTCACATTTATTTACATTCTAGAAAAGGCATCTTTGATAAGTGAGAAGGGACATTTGCAAAATGATAAGTATATTAAATATGGGTAAGCTTTTTATGCTTCTTCTACAACATAAAACGTATATACTTCTCATCTTATCAAAAGGTCCATTTTCAATGGAGGGCTAATATTGTTCCAATCAAAACATTACATTTCTATACTATTTTATTTTTAATTTTTTTTATAATCTATTTTGACAACCAAATTTTGTACGTCTAATCCTCTATTAAACTCGCATTAGCAAAAAATATATAAAAAATATTTTCAATAAAGTAAAATGACCAAAATACCTCTAAAAATTTCAAAGGGTATTATTTTTAATATTTTTTATAGGTGCGCCCCAATGAGAAGATGGCACGTACCAAATTTCATATTCATAAAATTTGTATAAAAAAAACTAAAAATAAAATACTTTAAGATGTTTGATCTAAGATCAAACGGTGAATAGCTTTCTTGATCACAATTGGACGGCTGAATGATAGGAGAAGCATAGATGTTCTATGTTGTAGAGGAAGTATAGAAACCTTTCCCATTAAGTATAAGGAAAAAGATTATATGTGGTTGACACCTTAAAATGTAAAATTAAGGTACAACTCTAAAAACATTCGCAAATGGTTGTTTTGATATTGGAAAAATATCTAATTGATGATCTAAACATCCAAATGTATAGGTAAAAGCATAAAAAAAAGAGCTCATGTCCTAAAAATAGTACATCTTGCAACACTTCATCTGGACCATCCATTTTCAAGATTTTCAAACATTTATAGATCAGCTTGATGTGGACTACTTTTTTGAGTTTGAAAATGAAAAGTTGGAGAAACAACCACAAATGACATTGTTAACTTACGGAGCGAATCTCCGATTTGGAAACGGCTTTTTTCAGCCCATTGATTGTAGCTTTGCACGGTAGGATCCGAAGGGACAGACCACCCATTCTTGCCCCCAACTTGAAACTCCATAGCAATTGTTTCTTGAAACAAAATCATCATACAAAAGAACCCAAGCAAAACTAACACTCTCTTCTGGTCACATTTACTACTAGCCATAGCTATATAGGGTCGAATTGAGAATGCAAGCATTTAGAAAGTATAGCTTTGGATTGAAGAGAAGTGAGAGAGAGAGAGAGAGAGAGAGAGGTAGGGTTGGT